TTTTAAAAATTATTTCAATAAAAATTGACAGAGACTTTGGATTTCCATTCATTCATTGTTGCACTTTTCTCCCCTCCTAACCCTCCCCCCTAGTACACTACCCTCTTGAAAAAGTAAAACAAAAATTTTTTCATTGTTTTACAAACCCTCCCTCAGGTCTGCTCTACTATGCAGCCTTCACTCTTGACTCCTGTCATGACAAAAATGCCTAATCACATAACCCTTTTAAACAGTTTTCTCCCTTATCTGTTTCAATGCAGTATACATTATTGAACCCATCTTTCCCAACCCCAATGTCAGTCCTATTTTACAACAGTGGCACTGTGCAGTATTTGTCCTTTTGTGACTGAGATAGTTCACTCAGCATAATGTCCTCCAGGGTCACACATTTTGAATAATATTGCATGAGGTCCTTGTTTTGCAATGCAGCGTAGTATTCCATTGTGTGAATATACCACAGCTTCTCTATCCATTCGTTTGTTGATGGGCACTTAATGTTGTTTCCAACTCCTTGCTATTGTGAACAAAGCCACGATAAATGTGGATGTGCATATATCTGCTTGGATATCAGTTATGGTATATTCCCAGTAGTGGAATTGCTGGGTCAAATGGTATCTCTATTTGCAACTTTTTGAGAAAGCGCCATACCGCCTTCCACAGTGGTTGCACCATTTTACCCTCCCACAAACAGTGAATAAGGGTTCCAGTTTCTTCTCAACCTCGCCAGCATTTGTTGCTTGCTGTTCTGTTAAATTTTGCTATTATGACTGGGGTGAGATGATATCTCATAATTGTCTTGATTTGCTTCTCTCTCAGAGCTAAGGATTTTGAAAATTTCTTCATGTGCTTGTTGACCATCTGAATGTCTTTTTTGGTGAAGTGTCTGTTCATATCCTGTGTCTATTTTTCTATTGGATTATTTACCTTTATCTTGTTATGGTGCTCATGTATTTTATAAATTCTGGATATAAGTCCCTTATCAGACATGTCATTACCAAATACTTTTTCCTAATCTGTGGTTTCCCTTTTTTTTTTTTTATTTTGGGCACATGACACACACCATCATTTTTTTATTAATTCAATTACAGCTGTTTTTGATGTGGTTTCCCTTTTTACCTTGTTGGAGAAGTTTTTGGATGCGCATAGGGATCTGATTCTTAGAAGATCCCATTCATCTATTTTATCTTCTGGTTGTAGGTTTTTCAGGATACTTGAAAGACTGTTTATATTGTGGATTAGGACTTGTAGCATTCTTCCAAGCTTTTCTTTAATGAAGTTTATAGTCCTTGATTTTAATCCTAGGTCCATGATCCACCCTGAGTTGGTTTTTGTTTTTTGGTTAACAAATAATCCTTTATTGAAATATTTTCATCTGTAGTTCCTTAGCTAGCTGGGCATTCCACAGCACCACTGTTGATGTCTTCTATGATGTCATGAGGGTGACGGCTATCAACATTGCAGCCCACCGATTGGGCAGTTCCCAGGATCTCTTTAATAGTTCCAGAGAGTTCTCTGGCTAAAGACCGGTGTCGCATCTGCCGGGCAAGGCCAATAATCTCATCAAAAGTGATATTTCCACTGTGCTTAATATTTTTCTGCTTCTTTCTGTCTCTGGATGGTTCCTTTAGGGCTTTGATGATCAGGGCAGAGGCAGAAGGCACCACTTCAATCTGGGCCTGTCTGTTCTGAATCGTCAATTTCACTGTAATCCTTAGTCCCTTCCAGTCACCGGTGGCCTTGGCAATATCATCACCAACCTTTTTTGGAGACAGACCCAGGGGGCCGATCTTGGGGGCCAGAGCGGAAGTGGCACCGACTTCCCCACCGGTACACCTCAGGTACACGACTTTAATCTCGTTGGGGTCGAACTTGGGCGGCATGGCGGAGGCGGCTGGTGTCGGATGAACCCGGATGCGGGCGACCGAAGAAAGTTGCACCGAGGCCTCCTCCAGCCGAAAGCCGAAAGCTGAGTTGGTTTTTGTACATAGAGTGAGGTATAGATCTTGCTTGAGTCTTTTGCACATACTTTTCCTGTTTTGCCAACACCATTTGTTAAAAAGGCTGTCGTTTTCCCACTTAACTGATTTCATCTCCTTGTCAAAAATCAGTTCACCGTAGATAGATGGGCTGATCTCCTGGTTCTCAATTCTATTCCTTTGATCCATGTGTCTGTCTTTGTAACAGTACCATGCTGTCTTAACCACCACAGCAGTGTAGTAGGATTTGAAATCAGGGAGTGAGGGACCTCCTCCCTTTCTGCTATTTTTAAGGAGTGCTTTGCTTATTCCGGGCTTCTTTCCATTCCAAATGAAACTGGAAATTGCCTTTTCCATCTCGTTGAAGAATGGGATTGGTATTTGTATTGGGATTGCATTAAACGTGTAAATTGCCTTCGGTAGTATTGCCATTTTCACAATATTGAGCCTTCCTGTCCATAAGCAAGGGATATTTTTCTACTTCTCCAGGTCTCTTTATTTCTTGTAATAATGTTTTGTAATTTTCTTTGAATAGATCCTTTATGCTTCTGGTTAAATTTACTCCTAAGTATTTAATCTTGTGATTAGCTATTGTGAAGGGTATTGTTTTTCTTAGTTCCGGCTCTGTATTCTCTTTGTCACTGTAGAGAAATCCAACTGATTTTTGTATGTTGATCTTGTATCCTGCCACTTTGCTGAATTGGTCCACTCTGTCCAATAGTTTTCTTGCTCCTAGTTAGATTTTTTTAAAAATTTTTTAATTTTTTATTATTATTTTTTGTGCATGTACCGTCAAATCAGATCTGACTGGTACAGGAGGAAATTGTCCCTCCTTCTCCGGCAGAGCGTCTGGTGGATTTGAACCGTGTACCTCTGGGATTGCAGTACAGCTTCTTGCCACTAGGCCACCAGAGCTCCCCTCTAGTTAGATTTTTAACCCATTTCCCCCCCTCATTTCCTAGATATGTTTCATGTTATTGTTATTACGTGTCATCAAGTAGAGTATGACTCATAGTGACCCTGTGAACAACAGATCTGCATCCTCTCCTATCCTTTCCTCTGCCATACTCAACATCTCTAATGCACTTGAGCCCATTGCTGTAGTTACCATGTCAATCCATCTTGTTGGGCGTCCTCCTCTCCCTTTCCCTTGAGTGAGGGCTAGCTGTGGCACGCACTCCTGTGCCACCACCAGTCTCACTACTTTTGCACCCAGCTAATGACTGTGCCTCTTCTTCTTCTTCTAGCCTTGGAGAACTCTGTTCCTGAGCGTCCCCAGGAAAAGGAAGAACCAGTGGCTCAGGAGGCCGCGGAGGCGATTGACTCTCACCTTCAGGACTTGCTGCAGCAACTACACAGCGTCAATGAGGCCAAGCCCTCCGAGCGTGGGCTGGTGAGGCAAGGTGTGGGCACCGCAGGGGCTGGTCGCTAGGCGGTTCGCCTGGGGTGCCTGAAGAGGGCAGGGTGGTCCTGTCAGCATGGTAATAGTGGGTTGGCCAGGTACCTGTCACCATATACACCCCTCCCCCTTGTTGTGTGTGTCGAAGCGTATCCAACTGACACAGGAGGAAATTGCCCCTCCTTCAGCAGGTCATCTGGTGGATTTGAACTGCGTGCCTTTGGGATTGCAGCTCAGCTTCTAGATCACCAGAGCTCCCTTTCTCTGTAATTTTCACTTTCTGTAGATTTTACTCAAATCAATTAGCTTAACACTCAGGATCTTCCTTTTCTGATCCATCTTTTTATGACACAACTGCCGTGTCTTCCTAATCCTCTCAGATTCCTGCCTGTGTTCTAGATACGCCCCGTGTGTATTTATACGTGCTGTTCCCTCTGCTTGGTGAACTCCTGTTGATCCCTCAAGACCATTGACAGAATAGACCTGTGTGTGCTGCACACTGGGACGCACTTCTCCCCAAGTCTGCGTGACTCACACCTCACTCCTTTCCAGACCATTTTCCTGCCCCTAACTCCCTATCTCCTTACCTGCCATTAATTCCGCCATAGCATTTCTCAACAAACTTTCTAAAATGTCTACATTTGCTTCTTATCGTTCGAATTAGTACTTTACTTATGCTGTGAACATAGCCTTTTAATGTGTTTGGAATTGTCCTTTGACAAATTTTTCTTATCAATAGAGTATGCTAGCACCACACTAGGGAATTAAATATTTTTCACTCAACTTTGTGAGATCAGTGACATAACTTTTGCTGGGTGAACATCACCAGTGTCTTTTGCCACATTTTCCATTCCCATAAACAAACTAATTTTCTAAACCATAATAATCCTTTCCCATTTCTTCTCCCTCTGACTCTTATAATCACTATTTAAACTCTGTTCTCTGTGTGCTCTCACATTTTTAATGGAGCTTTTTCTTGTCATTTGAGTGAATGTTTACAGAACAAATGAATTTTCCATCAGCAGCTGACATGCATAATGTTTTGTGACATTGATGACAATCCTCATAGTGTAACAGCATCCTGCCCGCTCCCTCCCTATGTTTCCCATTTCCACATCCTCTCCCATCCCTTCCCACCTTCTGAGCTTCACCTCTGGCCAGATGCTGCCCTTTTGGTTTTAGGTGGTTGGTTGTTGTAAGAAGTTGCTTTCCTCCCTGGTGTTCTTATTGACTTGTCTTGTTTGGCTGAAAGTTGAGTCAGGGGTGACTTCAGATCCAAACTTGAAGGGTGAGGAAGGGCCCTGGTCTTGGGAGTTCCACTGATCTCTCTCAGACCATTAAGCTTCGTCCTGTTTTATGATTTTGAATTTTGTTCCAAAATTTCCTTCAACTCTCCAGTGATTCCTTTCAGAGGAGTCGGGGGTGGTGGGTGGGCAACACCTAGCTCACCAGTCTCAGGGCTGTGCACGCGTAACATTTTATTCACACAGAGATGGGAAATGAGATAATCTGCCAGCCACTGACTGTCCATGATAGAAGTCACATATATTTCATTTGTTGTTGTTGCTATGTGCTGTCGAGTCACTTGTGACTCATAGCAACCCTATGTACAACAGCCCTCCTAAACTCTGTTCTATCCTGTGCCAATAGCACTGTCTCTGACACTACCATCCTGATTATCCCAGTCACTGAACCAATCCACCTCACAGAGGGCCTTCCCCTCCTGTGCCTGCCCTCCACCCTCCCAAGCATGATTTCATTATTGTTAATGGATAGAGTGGTAAGAAACTGCCTGTAGTCTCAAGGTGCACAGTTCAAATCCACCAGCTGCTCCATGGGAATAGGATGGGCAGTCCTTCCTACATGATTTACAGCCTGTGAAAACCTGCTGGATGGTCCACTATGAGCCAGTTCCGACTTAACGGCACACAACAATATAAAAATTACCATTTGGGTATTTTTTCCACATGTACAATTCAGTGATATCAGTGGCATTTGCAGATTCTACAACTATATCGTCCAGTGCTCACTAAACATAACTTTTTTGGATTTTTTTTTCTCATCCCTGTCTGTTTTTGTTCCTGTAGCCAGTGTACGAGCCCCATAAAGGCTGCATTTTTTTTTTTCTTTCATTCACTGTGCTCATGCCTGGCACACAGTAGGCTTTTGATAAATGGCTCAATTAAATGATTGCGTGGCGGTTGGTATAAGAATCTATCCTGCCATTTGTTTGTGTTTATTGGTGGTGGAAGCCATTCCTGGCTCTGCTGTGAGGCCCCAGTGCTGGCTTCAGCTGTGTCAATTCTCTGCCTCCTGGCTGAGCCCTCGTGAGGTGCCTGGCAGGCTTCCTGGAGGGGGCGGCAGGAGAGCTCCAGAGCAAGAGGACCCTGCCTTCACCAATCACCTGTCTGTCTGTGTTTCAGAGGAGGCTGAGGATCCCGCCTGCATTCCCATCTTCTGGATCAGCAAGTGGGTGGACTATTCAGACAAGTATGGCCTCGGTAGGTTTCCTCTGGGATGGTTGGGTGGTTCGAGTACCGCCAGGTGACTCTCTTTGAATGATTTCTGACAACACTTGCCCTTTTAAGGGGACCTCTGGTCCCCTTGTCTCAATACTCTGCTATCTCCATCCCAGGGCTCCCAGTTCTTGATCCCACTTGTCCCCGGGTCTCTGCTGCCCATTTCTGAGGTCTCCCTGTCCCTCCTCCTAGGCTATCAGCTGTGTGACAACAGTGTGGGCGTGCTCTTCAATGACACGACACGCCTAATCCTCTACAATGATGGCGAGAGCCTGCAGTACATCGAGCGGGACGGCACCGAGTCCTACCTCTCCATCAGCTCCCGACCCAACTCCTTGATGAAGAAGGTGAGTGCCGGACCCCAGCCTGGCTTTCTCCAGGGGTAGGACTTGAACCAGCATTCAACTGTCATTCTGAACCTCCTCTCTTGCTTTCCCACCAGATCACGCTTCTTAAGTATTTCCGGAATTACATGAGCGAGCACTTGCTGAAGGCCGGTGCCAACATCACGCCCCGAGAAGGTGACGAGCTGGCCCGGCTACCCTATCTGTGTACTTGGTTCCGAACACGCAGCGCCATCGTCCTGCACCTCAGCAATGGCACCGTGCAGATCAACTTCTTCCAGGTGAGCAGCATGAGCCCAGGGCAGTGTCTGCCCGACAGGGGCCGGCAGGGGTTAGGTGGGCTGGGTGTGTCTGCCTCTCCCTGGGCCACAGCAGTGAGGAGGGCATGGAGTGGGATGGAGGGAACCCCGCCATCTGCTGGGTTATTCTCCTCTCTCATCCAAAAGCTATTGGCCATCAAGTCGATTCTAACTCAGCAGCAAATGCTCTAGGACAGAGTAGAGCCCTGTAGGGGTTCCAAGTCTGTAGTCTTTGGGGAAACAGCTGGTTTGAATTGCTTGCTTCGGGTACAGCCAAGTGCTTAAACCTGTGTGGCACCAGGGTTCCCGATTCCTCCACCCCACTCCCCTCAAATGCATCTGCTGTTGAGAGCCCGCCTGTAACCTCTTTCCCCCTCCCCTCCCAGGACCATACCAAGCTCATCCTGTGCCCGCTGATGGCAGCCGTGACCTACATCAACGAGAAGCGGGACTTCCGGACGTACCGCCTGAGCCTCCTGGAGGAGTATGGCTGCTCCAAGGAGCTGGCCAGCCGCCTGCGCTATGCCCACACCATGGTGGACAAGCTGCTGAGCTCACACTCCGCCAGCCATCGCCTCAAGGCCTCCTCGTAGGCCTGCCTCCCTCAGGACTGGTGCCCCTCTTCACTCCCTCCAGCACCCTGGGGCCTACAGCGGGTGTGGTTTAACATGCCTCCGAGCCCTGGGGGCTGGGGAGAGAGCTCCATCATTCTTGTAGGGGAGGGTTGCTGTGTAAGTTATTTTTTTTTTTTTTTCACATGTTCAGGTGTGGGTCCTATAGCCCTTTCCCCTGTCCTGTTTGCCCCATCATATTAATTGTACAGATAATTTCTATTGAATCTATTGACTGTCCTATCCTTTGTTTTGTATACATTAAACATATATGAATCTTGATTTTCTTCTTGTATTCCCTTTGCTCTGGGATCCCCAGGCTATCTGCCTCATTGACACTGGGGCCAGCCTCAGCTAGTTGGCCTGGATGGAGACTGCCCTGTGGCTCTCAGCTCCCAGCAGCCCCCGGGCATGGCTCCCCGGTCCCCAGTGCTGGCGGGTAGTAGGGCAGGAAGAGACTCTCTGAGGCACAGCTCCGCATGGCGTGATGCGTGTGGAGGAGCAGCTGCGGGAAGCGGCTTGTGAAGTATTGGATGAAGCTGTTGGGCACTGGGCCCAGCGCCTGGCGAACCTCAGCTGGGAGCTCCCTGTAGTGGTGCTTCTGGAAGAGAGAGGATAGAGGTAGAGCAGAGAAACCTGGCTCAGATGCAGTGGGGCCTGCCTGTCTCCCAGATGGGTGGTCTGCCTGCCCCAGCCCGGGGCCGCACCTTGTTCCTCATCGCCCTCAGCAGGTCTCGCACTGACGTTCCCTTGTATGACCGGAACCGCCTTAGATCTGTGGACAGGCAAAACCCTGCAAAGCTGTTGTCCACCCCCTCAGACTCACATCATTGTCCCGGGCCACCCCGAGTCCAGCCCTCTACCTGTCTGCAGGGGCAATGAGATGTGCTTGTGCCAGTTGCCCCGGACCACCGTGTGGCCTCCCGCCTCCAGCTCCATCACCAGAGGTTCTTGCTCAGACGCCTTCTCCAGCCAGTCACTGACGTCCTAGGACCCAGAATTCCTGAGCCTCGTGACCGGTGTCAGAGGCCACAGGCCTGCTCAAGTGTGTTGGGTAAACAAAGGAAGCACAAAGCAGAGACTTTCTCGTTGAGGGTGTAAGGACTATCCTCTGTGGAGTACAACTGCTCTGTGCTCTCCCCATGTTACCCCACCAGGCCCTCACTGCCGGCTGTGAGGAGAGTATCTGAGTTTACAGACTCAGAGGCTCAAAGTCCTGGACTACAGGTCACTCAGGTGGAATGAGTTCCCTGGACACAATTACAGCACGAGCGACAACTTGGACTAAAAGCAGTGGACTAGGTTCTGGCACAAAGGACAAGGGTGGGATGCCAGGATGGCAAAGCTTAGCAGCCTGAGCTTTTGACACGTCAAGTAGGGAGCCAGGCCACCTGGAACAGGTGACTTAAGTCCTCATCAGCCCAATGGCTTCCCCTTTCTTGTCGCTCATTCACTAAACTTGGGACTTTCTGGGTCATTCCCGAGTCCCCTCTGACCTGGAAGAACTGGAGTTGCTTGGCTCTGCTCCAGAAGAAGGGGTGGGTGAGCACCTGCTCAGCAGAGGGCCGGGTCTGGGGCCACGTACTCAGCATGGCTGCCACCAGGTCCCGGGCAAGCACCTTGTCTGTGGGTGGAAGAAGAGCAGCTTAGGTCTGCACGGCCTCCTCCCCATCCTCCTCCGCCGTGATCCCCTCACCATGGACCTCCTCCTCCAAATGAGCCAGACAGGGAGTGCCTGCAAGGATGTTGGCCTGGCGATACAGAATCTCTCCAAAGGGGTGGCCTCCTCCGGACAGCACGTAGTAGAACACGCACCCAGCTGAGAAGATGTCAACCGCGCTGGTCTGGGGCCAGAGAGACATGGATAAGGACGCCTGCTGTCAGGAGGCCTGGCTGGCTCAGTTCTCATGGGAGGCTGATCATGTAGTTAGGATCTCTGCTCAGCTCTCAACCTCAGGATGCTTCTTGAGAGGCAGCTCCTTGCTAGATCTCATACCTTCCAGGGATGGGCCTGGGATTTTCAATCACACTAACCTAGGTTTACAAGCTCCATACCTGCCTGGCTCAGGCAGGACGTACCACTGGGAGCAGCTCTCTCATGAGGCAGTTAAGACCCGTTGAGATTTGACTTGGCCCTAGGGCAGCTGGTGGTAAACTGCAGGGAATGTAGCCAGGGTTCAGAGCCTCTGATCTCCAGGAGAATTCAGGAGAATTGGATTTTACCAAATGTTGGGCATTCATATATACTACATAGGAGCTCTGGAGCTTGGTGGTAAGAAGTGGCACTTCCCACCCAAAGGCACACAGTTTGAATCCACCAGGTGCTCTGCAGGAAAAAGATGGGCTGTCTCCTCCCATGCCGTCTCTGGAAACCCCCTGGAGGGTCAGCTATGAGGCTGTTCCAACTCACTGGTGATGAATGAATGAGTAGAAATAAAGCCTATTTGAGCTGGTGACAGAGATGAGCTCCTAACCCGTAGGCCTCGCCTCTCTGGTAGTTCCAACGCTACTGCAGTGAGTGGGTAAATGTAATGCCCAGGGCACTTTGGTAGCATAGTTTGTAGGAGGTTGTGTTGCTAACCCAAACACAATGAGTTTAAGTTCACCAGTGGCTCCATGGGAGAAAGACGGGCAGTCTCCTCTCATGTGATTCACGGCCCTGGAAACCCAGTGGAGGATCAGCTGTGAATCAGTTCCAACTCCACGGCAATGAGAAAGAATATGAAGCCCGTGGGCGGGACTTGGTCCCTGAGTCTTTAATCAACCTTCTCTCGCTTCCTTCTCGGTGAAGAATGGCTTTGTTTAGTGACTGTCCCTTTTGTTAACTTCCACCCACACACTGGCAACTCCCAAATCTATAACCCTGGAGTCTCAAACTCAAGTTCCTAGAGAGTCAGACGCTGCTCTGCTCAACTCTGTTAACTCCTCTGATGCTCCTTAAACCTTCATCCAGAACGATTCTGGACCCTGACTGCATTCAAAATCACTTGGGCCCTGTTGCAGGTCAGTCAGGGCAGTGGCTGGCCTGAGGCCTGAGCATCTCTAACAACCACAGTGATTCACAGCGAGGTGAAGGCTGCAGAATCACCAGAGCAGTTTCTCAGCCTCAGCACCAGCTCAGACAGTCACGTGCGAGCACGGCGCTTCTAAATACAGCGCGGTGTTTAGTCCCATCTCTAACTCATGCACCAGGCGCCTGTCTCTCCTGCCACCAGTTGTCACAATCAGAACCATTCCCAGACACTGAAAAATGGCCCCTGGAATTGTGGGAGGGGCACTATACTAGACAAGAAGGGGGAAGAAACCCAAAACTAAACCCTCGTGCCATCAAGTCCGTTCTCTTAGCAACACATAGGGCAGAGAAGAACCACCCCCAAAGGTTTCCCGAGCTCTTTGCTATGGAAGCATAGCAGCTGGAGGATTCAAACTCCCAACCTTTTGTTTAGCAGGTATGAACCACTGGGGCTGCTTCTGCTGTTGATAAAAACCAAGCTCACTGCTGTGAGTCAGTTCCACCTTAAGGCCACGTTCTAACCACATCAGCACTGTCTGGGCTATTTTATCTCCACTTCACAGATAAAGAGCCATTGGCCCAGGTGGACTGGAGAGCTGCAGGTCTCCCCTGAGCCTTGGATGGGGCCTCCCGAGGAGTATCTTAATGGGGTGTCTCCTGGGTGGAGTGCACTCACAGGACTGTCAGGGGGCAGGAGCTGCAGGAGCTCAGGTGCCATCCAGCCCTCTGTGCCAGGGATGCCCGAGCGGAGGCTGAAGCTCCAGCGGCCAGCTGCCAGCTTCTTGCAGAGACCGAAGTCCGAGAGGACCACCCTGCCTCGGCCGTAGGCATCGGGCCCCGCGATGAGAACGTTCCCTGGTTTCAGGTCCCGGTGCACTGTGGGAGCAGAGGATGCTGGACTGAGGATGGGGCAGGGCAGGATGCAGGAGGGGCTGGAAGGGCGCTGGTACCTATGTGCAGGGAGTGAAGGTGGGCGAGGCCAGACGTCAGCTGCACCAGCACTGCTTCTGGCTCCAGACCCCAGCGCTCCTGATGGGGAGATTCCACGTACTGAGGAGTAACAAGTCCAAGGAGAAGAGGTGTCAGTCACCACACTGCAGGGGACCCCGGGGCCACCACCCACCGCCCTGAGCACTGCTCTCACCTCCCGCAGCGAGGCCTGGCAAAGCTCCAGGGCGATGTAGTGGAACTGGGGCCCCCGCTCCGTGCAGAAGTAGCGGAGCACGTTGGGGTGCCTGTCGGACTCCTGCAGCAGCTGCACCTCACGCTGGACGAGGCCAAAGCATTCCCGGAGCAGCCGTTTGACAGCCACTGCCCGCCCCTCAAACTGTCCCCTGCAGGGGGGTGTATGAGCAGGAGGGACAGGCAGAGCAGGTAAGAAGGATGGGAAGCCGTGAGTAAATCACCACCTTGCACCCACAAAGGAACCCCCTCAGTAACGTGTGGAAGAGATGGCCCCCATGGCTCTTAGCACCCCATCTTTCTGAGACCACTCACCGAAACACAAACGTCCCACTTGCCCCTCGACCCAGCACGTCCTTGGGGTTGAAGGAAATCTTTCCCACTACTGTGAGAGTCTCAGCTGTGGGGACAAGAGGAAGAAATGCAGCTGCTGCGGCCCACCCAGAGCCCCGGTTCCACTCACACATCTGCCCGGGCCCAGCCCTGCCACCTGTACCTTCTCCTGACTTGCACCCTCACATCCCAGGCCCAGCCTGCAGCCGTGATGCCATGCCACCTTAGTCTGGTGACTGCTGCTGCCCTATCCACCCCGTGATCTGGGATAAATGCCTCAACCCTCTGCCTTTGGCTTTCTCATCTGTGAAGCAAGGCCGAAGACCGGCTTAGGAAGGAGTGGCATTTTCTTTCTCTGCCTCTTCCAGTATCTTTCTGCCCTGCCTCTGCTCCTCTTCCACCTCTGGTTATAATTGAGCCCTAATTGAGCTCTGGTGGCTTCGTCTGTGGGGAGTTGTGCTGCCAACCAAAATGCAGGCAGTTTGAATCCACCGGTAGCTCTGTGGGAGGAAGATGGTAGTCTGTGTGAATCACAGGCTCGGAAAACCCGCTAGAGGGTCAGCTCTGAGACTGTTCCAACTCGATGGCAATGAGAGTTGGGAATAGAGGTTGAAAGAAAGGTCTGTACAGCTCATTGGAGGCAAGGATTTTGAAGCTCAGTCTCCTGTATGTTAGTCCTGACAGGAGGGACCAGTCCTTGGAGAAGGACATCATGCTTGGAAGGGTGGAGGGACAGCGTAGGAGAAGACTACCCTGGATGAAATGGTTTGACACAGTGACTGGGGCAATGGGGGTAGGTGTGTTGCAGACAGAAAGACTGGCTCAGGACAGGTCTTGAGTTATACATAGGGTTCACTATGAGTCTCAGGTGACTGGATGACACACAACAACAACAACAACAATAACAATGTAAAACAGAATAATGTACCATAATGTGATAATGTGGCATGGTGTAATGCAACATGTTGTGATTGTTATGTGTCATCAAGTCACCTGCCATTCAACGACCCTTTGTACAATGGCTCTGAATCCTGTCTTATCCTGAGCTAGTCTCACTGACTCTGACGCACCTCATGTAACATAATACAATGTAATTAATATAACTTAATATAATGTAGCATGATGTAATATAGTGTTGTTGTTTGTTGTTGTGTACCATAGAGTCAGAACTGACCCATAGCTCACCCTCCGGCAGCGTTTCAGAGGCAGCTAATCACGTGGGAGGAGATTGCCCATCCTTCTCCCGCGGGAGCAGCCGATGGCCTCGAACCAGGTGCCTTCAGGATTGCAGCGCAGCTTCTTGCCACTAGGCGACCAGAGTAGTGTAACACAATGTAAGCCAAGATAACAATGTAATTTAGCGGAGGGTAACATAACAATGCAGTGTAATTAATGCAGCTTGACCATAACATATGCCTTTGAGTTATGGTGTTAGAGAAGAGTACTGAATATCCCATGGACTGCCAAAAGAACAAACAGGTATATCTTGGGAAAAGTGCAGCCAGAATGCTCCGTGGAAGCAAGGATGGAAAAGTTTTGTCTCACATACTGTTACATGTGGCATGTTGTGAGGAGAGGCTATTCCTTGGAAAAGGACATCATGCTTAGAAAGGTGGAGGGTCAGCAAAAGAGAGGAAGACCTTCAACCAGATGGATTGTCACAGTGATGAAAACAATGGGCATAAGTGTGTCAGAAATGATGAGGATGGCACAGGACAGGACAAGGTTCAGGTTTGTGTCCATAGGGTCTTGATGAGTCATACTTCACAGCATGTAATAATAGCAACAACAACAATGTAACATAGGGAGCTCTGGTAGCGTAGTGGTAAAGATCTGCACTGCCAACCCAAAGGCATGCAGTTCAAATTCACCAGCTGCTCCATGGGAGAAAGATGGGCAATCTCCTCCTATGTGATTAAACTGCCGGTGAAAACTTGAAGTGTCAGCTATGACTGGGTTCAGACTCTGCAGTACCTAACAGTAACAATATAACATAAGGTAATATAATAACATGACATAAAGTCATCACTTTCCAAAAATGTAATACAATCCACTTCCTAAGGCAGTTTAATGTAACGTGATCGATCAGTTGAGGTCATATTAACTGACTGACCTCTGGTGTAGGTGGATCATAGCCATAATCACCTTTGAGTTCTAAAAAGAACACAAGAGTCACAGTTCAGTGTGAGGGTCTATGTGCCAAGGAACACAAGGACCAAGGAACACCCCAGCCACACAAGACGATGCCTACGCAGTCAAGGCCCCAATTTGAACTTTCAGCCTCCAGAGCTGGGAGAAAATAAGTTCTGCTCCTTACGGCTGTCCACATGTGCTGTGTTAACAGAAGCACTAGGAAACTTACAGCACTGAGACATTCAAGATATCTCTTACTTCTAGAATGTCTGAGTTAGACGTTGAAGATTTCACTTCACGCCTTCAGCCAGGAAGGTCTCAAGTGCATAGAAACCACACGGGTTCTGGTCACCACTTCCCTCGGCATTCTGCATCATAATAGTGGAGCAGCAGCTAATGCTGGGCATGATTCTAGAAGTTCCAAAAGTCCTCATGCGAGAAGGAAATGCCACATAGTCCAAATCCCCTTTAAAGAGTCTGAGCTCCCATCATGCATTCTGCTGCCTTCCGCTGGGCTAGAAGGGTCTTACATAGTCAGTCACATGGTGTCCATCACCTCTTGACACAGAGTCAGTTCAGACTCATGGTGGCCCCACAGTGTCTTGAAAGATGTGGACGGCATCATCTTTCTCCTGGGGAGCAGTTGGTGGGTTCAAATCACTGGCTTTCCCAGTAGTAGATGAGCACTTAAGCACTGCACCACCAGCAGCTCCTTCGTTTCTATAGGTATTTGCCAATTTGCATGAGAGGCACCCTTCACAGAGGTTACGTGCAGCTTCCTCAGGCCTGGATCCTAGCTAGCTGCTAATTAGCTTTGTGAGTTGGGCAGTGGGTTGTCACTAAACATTTCAGTCTCTATTTCCTTTTCTGTAAAATTGGCATTATCCAGGCAGTGCCGGTTTTGTTGTTTATCAGGTCACTATGGGTAGATATGAAATGAATCTAACAAAAGCTATAGCAAAATTATCATAATACTATTGCTGGCTTATTGTCAAAGGAATAATGTTGACATTATACACAAGATTCAGTTATTTCAATATTCTCATGAATCAGAACCAGATATTTTGAAAGTTAACAAATTCTGCCCAATGTTTTAAATAGAAAACCAATGAGTCGCCTGGTAGGTTGTCTGAAGTGTAAGTTGAGAGGCAGTCATAATAGCTTGGTCATTTTTATGTCATTTTGAGGAGTAAAGTGACATGCCATCTATATTAAAAAAAGGGATTAAAATGACATCCACCTCATTGGGAAAGTCTGTAGTCAGGGACCTCTCCAAATTATTGAGGAGCAATGATGAGGAACAAGTTTATTAGCATCTTAAACAAAAGAAGAAGGACTTTCTTTAGATGAGATCTCATCAGCATCTTTTTTGGAAACAAAAGTTCCAGGCTCTCTGGGAGTGTGTTTCATTTTCGTGGCCTCTTGTCCTAAACGCAGAGATCATTCTCCTTCCTCTCTTCTGGTGAGGAAAGAATTTCTGCATTTTACGTAAAGCAAGGAGTCCTGGCCAGGCGAGAGCAAGGGCTAGACTTCTTCTTTTCTCCTCCTCTGCCAGAGGATTAGGGGTGCTCTGGGGACCAGTCCCAGTGGAATTGCACCACTGACCCAAAGGTGATACGCCCCTGGCAGTTTGAACCCATCACTGGTCCTTGGGAGAAAGATGGGACATTCCTTCTTGTTGTTGTTGTGTCCCATCGAGTCGGAACCAACCCATAGCTGACCCTCCAGTGGGTGTTCAGAAGCAGTTAATCAATTGCACGGGAGGAGACTGTCCATCCTTCTCCCATGGAGCTGCTGGTGGCCTCAAACCATGTGCCTTTGAGATTGCAGCGCAGCTTCTTGCCACTAGGCCACCTGAGCTCCATCTCCTCCTACAATCTTCAAAGACCTGCTGGATGGTCAGCTATGAGTTAGTTCTGACTTGGCAGCAGTGGGGATAGAAGCAGAGAGAGCAAGTGAGAGGACCACTGGTATCCACTGATGTAGTGGGGATTGAGATGACTTCTGGGAAAGAAATTAAAATCTTGTCAGTGACCGTTGTTGCTAGGTTCCCTCCAGTCTAATATGATAATAGCAAGCCTATAAACCACAGATCTGAACCCTGTATGTGCCATCCTCATACTTCCTGACACACTAAAGACCATTGCAGCGGCCATTGTGTCAATCCACCTGGTGGAGGGTCTTCCTCTCTGTCGCTGAACCTCCTCCTTCCCAAACATCATGTCCCTCTTCATGGAATAGCCTCCACTAGCAACAAGCCCAAAGTAGGTAAGATGATGCTTTTATCATCCTTGCCTCCAAGGAGCACTCTGGCTGCACTTTGCCCAAGACTTATTTGTTCTTTTGACTGTTCATGGGATGTTCAGCACTCATTTCCAGCACCACAGTTCAAAAGCATCAATTCTTCTTCTGACATCCTTATTTATTGTCCATCTCTGAGTTGCACAGCAAGTGATTGAAAAGACTATGGCCTAAATCAGGCACACCTTAGTCCTCAAGCTGACATCATTGCTCCTCAATAATTTGGACAGATCACTGACTGCAGACTTTCCTAGTACAGTTCATCTCCTGATCTCCTTACAGCTGGTACTGAGTTCTAGTGAAGGATGTAGGGAGAAGGACAAATGGAAAAGAGGCCTTTGATGAGAACCACTCTGTAGGAAGACAACCAGACTTAGCCCCAGAGTCAGAAAGAAGGTCCAGAGAGGTGGGCATTTCAAGGTGCAGTGTGGCAGGTGTGCCTGTTACTGAGAAGAGGGAACACCTCAGGGCTCAGATAACTTTACTATGGGGCCCCCAAAGTGCTAAACCCAACTGAACCCAACATCCACAGTGCAATCGAAGAAAACTTTGAAATAGGTAACTTAGTGGAAAGGAAAGACAATGTATAATAAGAATTTGAGAAGATACTGTAAATAATTACATTAATTGTAATTAATGTTATGAAACTAAATGCATATGAATGACTGAATGAAATCCAATTTGATTTGTAGCCTTTCACTCAAATTCTAAAAAGTTCATAGAGGAGAAAAATAAAGAGCTTGCTGACACACTGAAAAATGTCACTATTGTCACCGAACAATTTGCATAAGAATTGTCTAGTGAGGCAGGGAGAAAAGTGCAACAATGAATGAATGGAAATCCAAAGTCTCTGTAAATTTTCATTAAAAATAATAATAATTAAAAAAATAATTGTCTAATGAGAACTTAATTTGCTGTGTTAATTTTCACCGAAAACACAATGGTGTTTTTGTTATTTTTTTTTAAAAAAAGAGTTTGAGGCCAGAAGAAGGTAACTGGCTTCCTTGTCAGAGAGGAAGGAAGAATGGGGTGGATAGAGCTCCCACATAAACGCAGGCGGATTACAGTAGTCTGAGTTACTGCAGTAAGATGCATTCTCCAAGTGGACACAGGGGGTAGTGCTCCCTACAGTGACCAGCGCAGCTCAGGGCCACAGAAACTGGAGCTGAGACCTGGACTGATGAATGAAAGCAAGTGAAAGACACCTTAGAACATACCATCGACACCACAGGAACCGCAAAAGGGCTTATTTATAAGATTATTTTTGTAAAAGATGAGGGAAATCATGAAAAATTCAAAAGAGGAAATGATACCAACTTGAACTACAGTTAATTGACTGTTTTACTAAATATATTATTCTCAAAGAACCCCTCATTGCTGACTGCCTCATAGCTGACCCTCCAGTAAGTTTTCAGAGGTTTTAAATCACATGGGAGGAGATTGCCTGTGTTCATGCTGTGGAGAAGCTGGTGGATTCAAACCACTTGCCTTTGGATTGATAGCACAGCATCCTATGCACTAGGCCACCAGAGCTCCATATTTTGACAATATCATAGCACATTATTACTAATCAATAACACTACCTACATATCACCCGATGATAGTGGTAACCTGCCCCAATATTGTAGTGATAAAATAACGTGGATACTATTACTGTTCCTAACAGACAGATAAAGAGGAAACAGAAGCTCATCAGAATTAAGCAACTTGCCAAAATGAACAGGTAGAGAATGTAGATTTAAATCTCATTCCAGCACGGAGCAGCCTTGAAGACAACACCAGCACATGATGAAAGCAGTCGCTTTAAGCCACACGACAGCTCTCCCAACCCCCAACACTCTCCACTAATTTGAGGGCTCCCCACCACGCAGTCAGGCCTGGACTTGGGATCACCCCACATATAGGAAGAAAACCCTGCCAAGCCACCCAGTCCCCTGTCATCGGCAGGCCTTTCACTGGCTCCTTTTCAGATGTGCATCACCAGGTCTTTCTGCTTAGTCTTTCTTAGTCTGGAAGTCCTGCTGAGTGAAATCCACTGACCATTAAAGCAACACAGAAAAATCCACTGATAGACAGGGGTGCTGAACACAGGTTGACTGGGCCGAAATCGAGAGAGCCCAGGTCACCCGCATGAAAAGCAAGAATTCTACTGCTGAACCACCACAGCCTCACCACTGTGTGCCCTGGGTGGTGATTAGGTGCCATCGAGTCACCTGTGACTCATAGAAACCCTATTCTGCACCATCCTCACTGTGTCTGATACCCTGGAGCTCATGGTTGTCGTCACTGTGTCAGTCTACCTTGCTGGGGGTCTTCCTCTCCTTCTCACTGCTATGCTGTTGCTATTATGTCAAGTCAGAATCAATCCACACCTGACCCTCCAGTGGGTTTTCAGAGGCAGTAAATCACACGGGAGGAGATTGTCCATCTTTCTTCTGTGGAGCAGCTGGTGGATTTGAACCATGTGCCTTTGGGTTAATGGCGCAACTAGTTACCACTAAGCCACCAGCGCTCCTTCTCATCATTATGTTGTTTTTGTTGTTATGTACCGTTCTGTGGGAACCAACTTCTTCTAGCTGACCATCTCGTGGGAGGAGATTGCCCATCTTTCTCCTTCGGAGTAACTGGTGGGTTTGAACTGGGTGTCTTTGGGTTGCCAGTGTAAGTCCTTACCTCCAAGCCACCAGTGTTCGCTTCTTCCCCCTACAGTGACTCCTAACAGATTAAAATGAAGCGTGCTCTCTCTTTTTTCTGCCCATGACAGTGTCTCGTGCTCGCATAAGCTCACCTTCAGGGTCCTGTTGTTCCTGAGCTTGCTCTGAAGAGTTCTGACCCTTTGTGGGGGTCCCTGAAGCCCGGGGCTGGGCATCCTGTGGGGTGTCAGATGGGCCTGTGCGTGCCAGGGAGGCCTGTTGCTGCTTCTCCATCCACTGCGGCTGAGACACGAGGGCTGAAGAGGGCTGGACACTGGCCAGGACTTACCCAGGATGGCCCCAGGAGCTGTGCCTGTCTTGAGCTGGCTGCGCGCCACAGCCTGGATGCACTGAGCGCAGTGGCTGGGCCTCAGTGCATCCCAATAAGGGGCCTCAGAGAGGAGGTGCAGACTTGGGCCTACAAAATCTCAAATAGGGACCTGCGATCAGGAAGGGGGCCTTACCTGCCTCATCAGGAAGAGGATCCACCCTCCCAGGAGAAGAGCAGTGAGGCTGGTGGTTATCAGGTCCTGAGGATACAGCCATGCATACAAAGGTGGACTGTTCTCTTCAGGAGGCTGCTTCATGTCCTGAGGGTCTTCCTGCCAGGGGCTCAGGAGCTGAGGATAAAGGGACTTTCACTCTTCACATTCCCCCTCCCTGCTGCAGGGCCCTCAGCCTCTCTGTTGCCCAGATGGGGTCTGGTTTAGCATCAGTATGGATAGTGAAGAGATTGAGACAGTTAACAGTTTTAGTTTACATGGGTCCACAGTCAACACTCCTGGTAACAGCAGCCAGGAAATAAAGAGACGAATTGCATTGGGAAAGTCAGCTGTGAGGGACCTCTCAAGAGTATTGAAGAGCAAAGACGTCAGGCTGGAGACTAAGGTGCGCCTGATACAGGCTATAGTCTTCGCAATTATGTGCTATGCATCAGAGAGTTGGACAATGAACTGATGCCTTTGAGCTGTGGTGCTGGAGAAGAGTGTTGAATACACCATGGATTGCTAGGAGAACAAACTGGTTTGTCCTGGAGAAGGTGAAGCCAGAATGCTCCTTGGAGTCAAGGATTCTGAAGCTTTGTCTGGCATACTTTGGGCATGTTGCAAGGGGGGACTGTTTGGCAGACTGAGGGGCAGTGAAGAAGAGGAAGACCTTCGGTGAGATGGATCGATTCTGTGAGTGGAGTGGTGGGAATGAGTGTGTTTGAGACGGCGAGGTTGGCACAGGATAGAATAGCATTTAGGGCTTTTGTAAATAGGGTCGCTATGAGTCGCAAACGACTCAATGGCACATAACAACAACAAGCCTTTCTGAGACGAAATAGGACACAGTGGTACTGAGATACCATCAGCATTGATCCTGACTCCTAGCAGCCCTGCAGGACCCAGAGGCTCTCCTGGAGCATTTCCGAAGTGCTCACCTGTACAGGTGGCCTGGTGGTAAGCAGCTGTGCTGTCAGCCAAAGGCATTAGGTTTGAATCCACCAGCTGCTCCACAGTAGAAGGGTGGGCAATCTCCTCCCGTGCAATTTACTGCCTCTGAAAACCCACTGGAGGGTCAGCTCTGGGTCAGTTCTCACTCGACCACACACCACAGCAGCATCTTTACCCGAGCCCATTGCCATGTCTTTCTCCCCAGGAGCAGCTGGTGAGTTTGAACTGCTGACTTTTTGGTTAGCAGTAGAGCTCTTTCACCACTGTACCACCAGGGCTCCTCATGGTGCCCCAGAGATCTAATTTTTTCAGACCCAACAGAGGACCGCATGTCCTGGTTCTCAGGTTTTGCAGGGAGGTTGGGCTGGGCTTCCCGGGGGTTTGGACAAGCAAGCAGGATAAATAAAGGTCACTGTGTCCGGTCACTGCCACTCCCGATGTGTGGAGCCGTTGGTGCCTCTTAACTAACTCCCTCCCAGGAAAATGGGCTTTTGTGGGCAGATGGCCCTTCTGACAACATGCTCAACGTGTGAGAGAGGAGAGTTCACCGTCCTCGCCTTGAAGGAACACCCTGGTTGCACTTCCTCCAAGAATGACTTCTTCTTTGGCAGTGTGGGACTCTCCTCCAACACGACAACTCAGAGGCAGCTAATCATCTCCTGTCATCTTTATTCATTGCAGAGCCGCATGTGAATCTGACCCTCTGGACAGGCCAGTCTTGGGGCCAGCTGTGTAACTCCCTTTAGATATTACCACCAGAAGCCACAATTTTGGTAGCTTAGAAAAAATCATCTTTTTGACACTTTGGACGTGTTTATGACCATATTGTTGTTGTTGTTGACTGTTGGGTAGAAACTGACGCATAGCTGACCCTCTGCTGGGTTTTCAGAGGCAGTTTAATCGCACAAGAGGAGATTGCCCATCCTTCTCCCGCAGAGCAGCTGGTGGATTTAAACTGTGTGCCTTTGGGTTTGCAGCGCAGCTTCCTGCCACTAGGCCACCAGAGCTCCCTTTTATGACAATTGTTGTTATGTATGTCAAGTCACTTGCGACTCATAGTGACCCTACATACAAGAGCCCAAAACGCCGTTCTATCCTGTGCCAACCTCACTGTCTCTGACACACTCATTCCCAGCACCCAAATCACTCAATCGATCCATCCCATTGAGGGTCTTCCTCTCCTTCGCCGCCCCTCCACTCTCCCAAGTATGATGTCCCTCTCCAAGGTCCAGTCCCTCCTTGCAACATGCCCAAAGTATGTCAGACAAAGCTTCAGAATCCTTGACTCCGAGGAGCATTCTGGCTTCACCTTCTCTAGGACCAAAAAAAAAAATTTTTTTTTCTTCCAAAATATTGTGTGGGCTCCCATGGCTCACTTCAATTCTTTTGTCTAGCTGCCTAAGGGAAAGGCCCAAGGGCTGCACCCACCTTTAGGTTCTGTCCCACCATACCATACCATACCCCTCTCGCACTGACCTCCCAGAAGAGGGCTGGGAGAGCTCTGGGGGTGCGCCCCGGGGGCCTGGTCTCCGCAGCCCCACTCCCTGGGGCGGGCTGGATCCTCAGCATCGTGGTGTGCAGCACTGGGGGTGGTTCATGGTGTCCTAAGGACAAAAGTCAGCAGGTGGTAGGTGACCTCGGCCCAAAGGCTACCCCCACAGGCCCTCGATCGCCATCCAGCCCACCTTGCGGGCCAGGGGGCTCACCAATGAGTAGCCACTGGCTGGGCAGGGCCACGCTGCCTGAGGGGTATCTGACAGCAGTGCTGGGCGAGCCCTCTTGTTCTCCCGAGACTTGGAGTGTCACCTCATCTGTGGTGGGGCCATCTGCTGGGGCCAGGGTCAGTCCACGGGGCTATGACAGACGGGGGGTCCATCAGTGAAGGGGGCTTTCTGCGCCATCCCACCTTCCCATCCCTCTCAGAGACCCCTTCTCACCACGAGGGCCACCCCTGCATGCACCAGTGCTTTGGAGACATAGAAGCCGGTGTCATCCTTCCCCACATACAGCGTGGTCCTGGGCAGGGAGGGGAAGGGAAGACTAGTGAAGGGCCGTGTTGGGTAGTTTCAATGGCCACTGCATCCACACCCAGGTGTGGTCCACTCCCACACTGACTCTGAGCTTGACCATGTGACTTGCTATGGCCAATGAGGCACGTTCACTGAAGGCAGGTGCCCAGAACAGTGTGAGGACATGAAGGATCTTATGGAGCAGAGACAAGCCATTCCACTTGAGACTTCAATGTCAAACATTCTGTCAGTATGAGAGAGGTGGGTGGCGCCATCCTAAACTCTCCAGCCCCAGTCAAGCCAGCAGCTGGTTGCAGTCCTTCCCTCAGCCAGAACAGATCAGAAAAACCACTCCGCTTACCCAAAGGCTCTTGGGAAACAAGAATTGCTCATTCTGGCTTAGACGTTTCCCTGGCAACCCAAAGGCGCGCAGTTTGAATCTGCCAGCTGCTCTGCAGAAGCAAAGATGGGCAATCTCCTTCTGTGCTATTTATTGTTTCAGCTACGGGTCACCTTCAACTGGATAACACACAACCATCACATAACAATACACATTGTTTTAAACACTGTGTTTTGGGATTGGTTTGTTACATACAAAAAAATTGACAGAAATGTCATCAACATAACATTTAAATATGTGTTGAGCCCAGACCTCTTGCAGAAGCCTAATTTTCTAAACCTGAGTGTTTCTTCTCATTCCTTCTCTTGTCCCCAACTCCCCTCCTCGTGCTTCCAGCAAGGATGTCACCCTGCCTTCATCCCCAGTCACCAAACTCTCCAGTAAACAAATTCTTACCAGTGTTTCCTCTTAACATCACTTATTTCATCCTTAGTATTTCTTCCTCTCTCTCCCTAAACTAAGACAGTAGGGAGCTCTGGTGGCCTCACTTTAAGGAATTGCGCTGCTAATTCAAAGGCACCTGGTTCAAATCCACCAGCTCCTCTGCAGGAGAAAGATGGGTAATGTCTCACGCCATTTCCTGCCTCTGGAAACCCACTAGAGGGTCAGCGATGAGTTGGTTCTAACTCAAGGGCATATAACACCACCACCAAGAGCCAAAGCAATATCCCACCATCTCTCCATTTCCTCCTTAAATCACTTCACACTATCTGTTACACTGTAGCCAAGACGGATTTTTCGAAAATAAAAATATGATTGAATCACTTCCTCACTGAAAACTCTTCAGTGGCTGTACCTTAGCCTTTGGAGAAAATGCAACATGATTCTGCAGAGTCTCAGCTTACAGCCTCAGACTAGACTCAGCTTTCTGTCTCTGCGCTCTGTTCGTGCTATTCTTGCCCTCCCTCTCTCTTAGGCTTTAACTTGGATGTCCATTCCTCCAGGAAGCTTTCTGTGACTGCAACCTGTGCCCAGAATGGATTCAGAAACCCTTTCTGTGCGGCCTCCATGGCATCCTGTCCATGTCTCACCTTATACTTCACATCATGTTACAATTGTCTCTTTACTCTCATTAGCCTCAGAGTCCTGTAGGATGGACAATGGCTGTTCCTGGAGTTTAGCTAGTGTATAGTAAAAAAAAAAAAAAGGGGGGGTATAATAAGGGAGCTCTGGTGGCCTAGTGGCAAGAAGCTGCGCTGCAATCCCAAAGGCACATGGTTCGAATCCACCAGCTGCTCCATGGGAGAAGGATGGGCAATCTTCTCTTGTGTGATTAATTGCCCCTAAAATCCCGCTGGAGGGTCAGCTGTGGGTCGATTTTGATTTGACAAGAACAGCATAAAAAAAAATTAAACCAACCTCATTGCAAGAGAAAAATTTGTAATCTCTCATGAGATTTCCTGTCACTGAAAACCCAGAGCTGGACTCATGGGTGACTTGGAGCTGACTCATAGGTGACCCCAGTGGGTTGCCAGGAGACGACTGCCCACCTCTCTCTGTTGATGCCGCTGGTGGAAACCTTGGGTCAGCATCGCAAGTCCCTGTGGACCATACCACCAGAGCTCCCTCTGTGCTTAGAAAGTTCTCAATTAATGTTTGCGGAACGGACTGAATGAAAGAGCAAATGTTAACTTTCCTAGTGTCACCTGGCTTCCCAAGATGGGCAGAGATGGGTGGTATTTAAAGCATTTGGTGAGTGAAGTATATAAAGTATGGGGCTTCTAGTTGAAAGTTGGCAGTTTGACTCGTGCTCCCTGGGAGAAAGGTGGGTGATTTCCTCTTGGTAAAGATTTACAACCTCAGAAACCCGCTGCAGGGGTGCTAGGAGGCTGAGGGGCAGCAGTGGACGGGTGTGAGGGCAGGGAGTGATGAAGACGAAGAAGGTGCAGGCACCTATGAATTGGGTGCCACGTGGCACACAGGGGCTGGAAGCCCCCACTCCATGAGAAGTAGGCTGTCCAGGAAGCATCTGTGGAGGCTCAGGGAGCTGGTCATAGACCACCCAGTCCAGACCTTGGGGAGGTCTCATTGTGCCATGTGACTACTTGGGTTTTCTGGATCAAATGTGTTTCTCCTTGACAGTGTGCTGTCTTATTATTATTTTTTTTTTATCATGCACTTTAATGGATAACATCTGCACTTTCCTTCTCTGATAGGTTCCTGCCTCCTACAGCCCCAGGTTCCTGCCTCCTACAGCCCCTGGCTCTCTCAGGTTGGGCCCCATGATGCTGTCTGACATCTAGTTCAGCCGTTCAGGTGTCACGGAGCCCAGGCTGCGACACCTTCAGGCCAGGTACCTACAGCAGCTCGGTGTCCAAGGCAGAGAAGTGGGTGGTCATGCTCTGCGGGCCAGAGGCAGGTAGCCGAATGTGGCCCCAGCGGAGGGCCAGGAAGTGCAGGGTGTCCCGGGCCAGGGTGAGGTGGGGCAGCTGGCGTAGGCCGTCTTGGTGCCAGGTGTAGACGCCCGTCACAGGCACACCCAAGTCCTGAGTCCACAGCACCGCTCCGCTTCCTGGGTCCACGGTCAGAAGCAGGCCCAGCCCACAGGATGTCAGGTGACTCACATCTGCCAAGAAAGATGGCTGGGGTGAGGCAGGGGGACCTGGGGGCGTTGGGACTTGGGGAGTTGTTCAAAGAATGAGTGCTCTGAGGTGGGCATTAGCTGTGTGGAGGTCAGCAGAGATCACTGGAGGACTATCATGGTGTCAGAGGTCAGAGTTCACTGGGTAGTTAAGTCAGGGGTCTAGGGGAGCTGTGCAGGATTAGGGGGTTCCACGGAATCATTCAGAGGTCACACAGGTGTGTGCGAGTAAGTCTAGATCACCTGAGAGGCAACCACTTAGTATGTGCTAGGGCAGACACGGTCCTCTGACCCCAGAACAGGGTCAGCCAAGGTGGCCTGGATACATGTGGGTATCTTGGGGTCAGCCAACGTGGCTTGGATGCATATGGGGACCCTAAGGGGTCACTTAAGGGGTGAGGAAGTAAGTCAGGGGGCTCTTGGGGTATCATTTATAATGTGTCAGGGTCACCTACTTGGGTCTCAGCAATACGGATGATAAAGTGTTTTGAGGGCTATCTGAGAGGCCACTCAGGCAGGACCATCTTAACTGCAAGAGGGTGGTCAGGCTTATCCAGAGGGGTCAGTCTGCAGGAGAGGTCTTTAGGGTTATTTGTCAGGGGTCATTCAACACGGGGGTGCTGGTTAGAATTCACAGGTCTCGTTCAGAGTATTCACATGGGTAACCTGGAGCCACAAGCAGTCGTCTGTTGATAGAGTTACCTGGTTAGGCCATCCAGGTTATGGGAGAGTTAGGATGAGGGACCCTGGACGGGGCATATGGAGGTCAAGCTGAATGTTAAGGGTGTTCGTCATAGGTCATTTGTCAGAGGTGAGTCCCTGAGTGTGTAGGGTTCCTGAAGAGGGTGAAAGGGTTGGTCAGAATGTGGGTGGAACCCCAAAACTATGAAAGGCCTTCAGACACCCTTCAAATCTGGAATCAAATACCTGATGGCTCAACTTTCAGGCAAACAATCTACAGGCCTGAAAGGTAAACAGTAACAGCTGGACAGGCAGCTAGCATTTCTAAGAATAATCAGTCACGTAAGAGCAAAAGGAGCGGTACTTTCCCAGTGAGATAACTCAGAAGGAAGAAAGGGAGAGGCTAGCAGGAAAAGTGGAAACAGTACACACAGGGAGGAAGTGGGACAAGTACTGTTTCATTGTGGGGACTGCGATCAAGGGCTAGAGTCAAAATACAAGAAATGGCCAAATGAAAAACCAATTTGGTCTGTACCCTTTTACCCAGATCACAATTAAAAGTATTTTTTAAAATGGAAGGAAGGCCTTGACTGTGGATGCCACTCAGGGGGGGCCTGATTTGAGGACCAAGCTCCAAGAAGAGGCTAGAGAAAGGGACACTCACATTTCCTGGGGGAACCATCCATGGGGGGTGCTGAGTAGCGGCGGTAGGTGGTTTTCCAGTGGAGGGCTGGCATCTTTGGGTCATGCATGGTGACCGTGTACTCTGGGGATTCCCAAAATGGAGGTCACAGAGACATCCATGGGGTGCTCCTCCCACCCCACCCAAGCCAAGAAGTCATTCATCTTGCATGGGAAGCAGTTCCCAAGCACCCAGCCTGAAGGCCTTGAAGTCTGTGAGCATCACCAGGGCAAAGGTCAGGCTGTCTTGTTCACGACTGGATCCCTAGCTCCTATTTCAGTAAAGTGTTTGTTGACTGACTGATAGATCTGACCTAGATGGTAATAGTCAGACCTTGGAACAGCAGAAAGAAACACTTCCAAGAGCTTAGTGGGCAGCTTGGGTCTGACTCACGCGTTCTGCCGATGTAGAGGCGGGGGGTCGAGGGACCATCTGTGGTCATGGTCATTTGCGTCTCCCCGGACTCAGGATCCACCACAAACCAGACATCCTGCTTTCGGCCTGTGGGAAGTGGGGAGCGTCCCAGCTTCAAGATGGCAGGAGAGAGGTGTGCCTCCCTGGTGAAGTCCTGTCTAGACCCAAGTCTCTGTTCCTGTCAGCCTAGGCCGAGAGAGGCTCACCTGTGTAGAAGACCCCATCGGAACTGCGGCATGGGGAGGCGTGGACCAGCTCGGGGATGGTGAATGGCAGTTTCTACGGAGAAGGGACATTGGCAGGAGGAGTGAGAGTAGAAACCCGGTACTGCCCACACAGAGCCTGTGACCTCCAACAAGCGTGTGCATTAGGTACGCTGGTGGTTCCATGACAGAATTCTTGCCTTGAGTGTGAGAAACCCCCTCATGTACCACCCACCTGTCCATGGAGGTTCTATGTTGCTATGACACTGGACAGCTTTCAGCCGAGTTTCCAGACTAAGACAGACCAGGAAGAAAGGCCTGGCAAACTACTTCTGAAAACCCCAGCCAGTAGATGACTGTTTCCTATGTCCCAACAGTGTGATCTTGTGCATGGGGTCTCTGTGTGCTGAGCGCCGACTCAGGGGCACCTAAAATAACAGCAGAAGCAGAAACAAGTGCTGAAGAGTGTTCTGGATGGAGGAGACAATGTGTGTCAGTTAACTGGAAGGCAGAAATTGGAGCTTCAGGGTAGGATGGTGGGTATATGCGCATGCGTGTGTGTGATGGTGCGTGTGTGTGTGTGTGTGTGTGTGTGTGTGTGTGTGTGATTGTGTGTGCACCAAAAGGTGAGGCTGGCTCACATCTTACAGGGTCTCGTACACTCTGTCAAGCAATTAGGCTTTTGTTATATGGGGAGCTATTGACAGAAAGAGTGGTGGAATTGGTCACTGACAAGCCAGACTGGACGCCAGCTCTAGAGGAGGCCTGTGCTGGAAGCCTGTTGCGAGGGGAGACCTATTCTCCCTTCCCTGCCCTCTGCCCTGACGTTGACTTGTCTGGATGACATCAGCAGGCGTCTCTCTGTGCTGGCTTCCATCTGGATTGGACGATGGGGAGTGAGTGAGCTCAGGTCATGGACTCCACAGCTTTTCCGTGGTCATCTTGGGTTGCCTGTGTCCCTTTCCCAGATGCCTTCACTCCCAGCAGGCGACCCTCTCAGCACAACTCTCCGTAAGTTGTAGTCTCTCTCATCTCCCCTCCAGGCTTCTGACTGATAATGCCCCCATGTGTATATTAATAGCAGACTTCTGCATCGCTCCTGTGGATTCCTAGACACTGCCCACACTCTTGTGAAGGATTCCTTTAGTAAATCTTCCTCAAATGATCCTATTTGTGTGCCATCTGTTTCTTGCTGGGGCCTTGCTTGATTCACGTGCTTAAGTTCTTACCAGTACAGATTCCTAAACTACAGAATTCAGACTTCCTTAAGATATGAAGAGAATTCTGAGCTAACACCCCTGCTGATGAGGAGATGCCGCAATGTCTGCTGACACCCAGCAGACTCCTAGCTGATAAAGCCCTCCCTTGGCTGTGGGAGTTACCCAGAGTGGACTGGCTTCAGTGGAGATTCCAGACTGAGACAGATTAAGAGGGACCCAGCCATCTACTTATGAGGAAAACTGGCCAGCAGAAACCTTCCAGCAGCAGGACATCATCTGATAGAGTTTCAGATGAGCCCCTCGGGTTGAGAGGTGTTCAAAACACGACTGGGGAAAAACTGACTCCTCAAAGGTGAGTCTATCTCGCTGACTCTGGTGCAGTAAAACTTTCAGTCAGTGAAAGACCTTCATTTGCTGATGTCGCATGACTCAAACTGAGGAGAAACAGCTGAAAATATCCATCAAGAGTCTGAATGTAGAATGCATGAAATAGAAATCTAGAAAAAACTTGAAACTGTGAAAAATGACATGGAACCTATCAAGATCAATAATCCTTGGAGGGAGGGATTGTATAACAATGGAAGAATTTTTCTTTTACTTTTCAAAGAGAAGAGCGAATTGGGAGGAAGGTTGGACAGGGAGAAAAGTGCAGCAATGAATGAATGACAATCCAGTATCTGTAAACTTTCATTAAAATGAATTAAAAGAAGATCTCAGTCACAAAAGGACAAATGCTGTATAGTGCCACTGCTGTAGAATGGGACTGACATCAGGGTTGGGGTAAGAATGAGAAAAACTGGATAAATTATGTATACTGCATTGAAACAGATGAGGGAGAGAACAGTTTAAAAGCAATATATTATAGGGCATTATGATTATCATAAGAGTCCAAAATGAAGGTTGCAGAGTGGAGTATACTCGTGGTGGGGGTGGAGAGGGTGCGGGGGGATTGTACACCAATGAAGGAATTTTTCTTTTACTTTTCAAAGAGAAGAGTGAACTGGGGTGGGTGTTGGTGGGGTGGGAGGGGAGAAAAGTGCAACAATGAATGAATGGAAATCCAAAATCTCTGTCAGTGATCATTAAAAGTAATAATAAAAAAATCAATACTAAAAAATTAATTAAAAAAGAGCAATATCACTATCAATGTCTAGGTCCATTTCTAGGCATTAGCAACTATAAATGGACTGCTACTGGTCATTGTGAATCAATCAGATGGTCTACTATGCTAGGACTAGAAAAGAAATGATGTCACATTAATCTTTAAAAAGAAATTTCACATGGTAAAAATGCCAATATTACTTGTTATCAGCAGATATAATACAATCCTAATCCTAATCTGGCTTCTGGAGGTGCGGTAGGTTTGAGGACTCTGAGCACGTGTGGTGGTTCTTTGGGGCCCATGAGGGGTTTGGCAGAGCGGACTAGCCAGATGAATGGGGGTCTGGGGCAGGGAGTTTCCCAGCAATTGGGCGTGCCAGGCTGCTAAGACACTGTAGGTTGTATAGCCCTGGTGTACAAGTTGCCGTACAGCGATCACTTGTTGCTGTGAGGCTGAACACTGTGACACTGATGTGTCAAATGCGTTAATGGCTGGTTACCCAAAGTGGACAGAGAGTGGAGTGGAGCTCTCCGATGAAAACAAGCTTGGAAGGAGGAGTGGCATCCACTTCCGTAATAGCTTGCCTCCGGAAAACCTATGAACCTGGAAAGAGGAAGAAAGACACCCAAGAGTCAAGGACACTCCTTCATAGGGTTGCTATGAGTCGCCTGTGACTCGACGGCACTTAACAACAATCCAGATACTATCATTACTCTCTCTCTCACTGTAGCTGAGTGGAAACCTCCTCATAGCTGACCCTTCAGTGGGTTTCTGAGGCTATAAACTGCATGAGAGGAGACTGCCCATCTTCTTCTGGAGGTTGGGTTGCCCATCTTTCTCCTGAGGGTCAATTTGAACAGCTAGAGAGGTGCAGTCCGTAGACAGGCATTCCTTTGTATGTGTCATTGCAAATTGTGAATAACCTTGCAAAGACTGAGAAGTTCAGAGCACTTAATTTTGTTCATATGTAAATGACACACAGCTAGAACAGGACACTGGTTTAAAATCAGAAGTGTGCATCCAGGTTGTATCATTTCACCGTATTCAATACATATTGATGAAACTGAGGAGAACCTGAAGCACTTGCTGCAGAAGGTCAAGCATTACAACCTTCAATATGGATTGAAGCTCAACATCAAGAAAACAAAGATTCTCACTACTGGGCTGACTGGCAGCAGTATGATAGACAGTGAAGAGATTGAGATTCTTAACATCTTCAATTTGCTTGGCTCCACAATCAACACTTTTAGTACTAGCAGCCGGGAAATCAAAAGACGAATTGTATTAGGAAAGTCTGCTGTCAGGAACATCTCCAAAGTATTGAAGAGCAATTATGTCAGTCTGAAGTCTAAGGTGCACCTGATCCAGGCCATGGTCTTTGCAATTGTGTGCTATGCATCAGAAAGCTGGACAATGACTAGGGATGATAGAAAGAGAATTGATGCCTTTGAGCTGTGGTGAATATACCACGGGCTGCTAAGAGAACAAACAGGTTCTTCCGGGAGAGGGTGAAACCAGGCTGCTCCTTGGAGGCAAGGATTCTGAAGCTCTGTCTGACATACTGTGGGCATGTCACAAGGAAGGACCAGTCCTCGGAGAGGGACATCATGCTTGAAAGGGTGGAGGGACAGCGCAGGAGAGGAAGACTCTCAATGAGATGGATTAATTCAGTGACTGGGGTAGTGGGGGCAAATGTGTCAGAGACAGTAAGGTTGACTCAGACTACAGCAGGATTCAGAGCTGTTGTACATATAGGTCGTTATGAGTCACAGGTGATTCTTCGACACACAACATGCTGAACAAATAATCTGAGAAACTGGACTATATAAAGAAGGGGGGACATCAGGATTGGAGGATGATGAATTAACAGCATAGACTATGCAAATGACTCAGGTTTCCTTGATGAAAACAAAGAGTATTTAAAGCACCTATTTGCATCAAAGACTGTAATCTTCCATGTGGATCACATCTCAGCATTAATAAAGCAAAAATACAACTTGACCAATAAGGAACATGATGATAAAGACATAAAGGTAAGAATTTGGCAAGGCTTTCGTTTGACTTGGATCTACAAACAACGGCCATGGAAGCAGAAGTCAAGAAGAAAACATGTTTTACTTCATCAAGTAAATCTGGTACCTGTGACTTCTTTCTTATTTTAAAAGGCAAAGATGTTACATTGAGAACGAAGGTGTACCTGACCCTGGCCATGGTCCTTTCAGCCACTGCATATTCATGCAAAAGAAAGATAATGAGAGAGGAAGACCTCAGTGAGAGTTGACGCCTGTGAATGGTGGGAAAGGGATATGCGATATACCACGGACTATCAACTAGTGTGTCTTAGAAATACAACAGGCACAATACTCCGTAGTAGTGAGGATGGCAGGACTCACTGGGCGTGGTATCAAGGAGGACCAAGCTGTGGAGGACACTATCAGTCCTTGGTGGAGTAGAGGGTCAGAGACAAGAAGGAAGACTCTCAAAGAGATGACTTGATACAGTGACTTTAACACGTTGCTGCAAATGACAGCTATAGCCATCGTGCACATTTTAATTAATTATTCAGTAATACATCGGGGTGGGGAAGATGTAACATTCCCGATAACATATCAGTTGTGGGGTTATTTTTGTGAGATGGTCATAGCCGTCATCTACTCTGGGGAGAGAAAAAATGCTGTGATGAGCAAATGACTGTTGCAGCCATTGAGAGTTTTCATGGAAAAACTATGACAAAATGTGATAATTTTCACTTCCAAACATAGGACTGATGCTCAATTTCACATGGCAGTCATAAACAACTGGAAAAAAATGTGTTTCTAAGCACAGTCGTCAATTTAAAAGTGTACAGCAATGTGTTAAACATAGCAATATTTCGAAGAGGTGCACGATTGGGTACTTCTCTGTCCTCTTATGCATAGAATTGCTATGAGTTGAAACTGATTTGGTGGCACTTAACAGCAGCAAGGGTCATAAATTCTTTTGACTGTGCGCATGCCCCTTAGAACTGTGGCTTTCCAGAGGAGGGGTGGGTCTCATTCTTGCCCTCCTGAGTCCAGACTTGGCCATGAGACTTGGCCTGGGCAAAGAGACATCAGGAGGTTAAATATTAGTAGAAATCTCATGACGTGTTTGTGCTCTGGAGTTTGTAATTTCTTGTTGTTTCTGGATGCCTTGTTGACACCACGTGAACAAGCCTGTGACAAGAGGGTAAGAGACATATTCACTCCTGCCAAAAGTCAGCTGATCACCATCAAACTCTCAGAAGCAGCAGCATCAATGGGAGCAGCAGCTGATCGCAGATGTATGTGTGAGCTTACTCAAAATACATTGTTTTCTCCTCCAAACCCTGAGAGTCCTGGAGAAATGGGCAACCTCAGTGATCCGAGAGTCACCCAACCCTGTAGACACAGTCACAGACACTCTGCCCCCCATTCTATCGGCCATTCAACATGTTCTTGCAAACAGCCTTCCCACAATATACTCAGTACAACGATTTGCATCGTCTGTAGGACACCAGGATTCTGGCCGCACTGCCCCTTCCGCCCTTTACGGTTCCACCTGACAGAACCCTTTTACCACTCCCAAGCCCCACAGGAGATGTACCATTAAGCCGTGTTGTTTCTGGGTCCCCAAGATGTATAGGCTGCCATCAGTTGGATCTGAGAGAAAGGCCATTCTGTAGAAGAGAGGAATTGGGGGAAGATTGGTGCCTGTCCATTGGTTCCAGGAAGGCCCTCATTCCTCTCCAGCCCTCAGTTAATAGGAGTTAACTGTCCTTGCAGGAGATATTTGGGGGGCCCCAGATTACACTTGGAAGCAGAACTGGTATCCGCTCCTAAACCACCTGCCTCTGGAAACTCTTTGAACTTAGAGAAATGACAATAGTAACAGAACAGGGTTCAGGTCTTTTGTTCGTAGGGTCACTATGAGGTGCTTGACTCGAGAGCATCTAACAGTAACAACAACAACAGGTCCTTCTCTACATCGCATTCAGACCCAATTCTCTTCCATAGTCCTACCTGTCCCCCTCAGACTGGCTCCAGAGAATTACTGCTTTCCCATTTCCCGGTTACCTTCCCCTTGAATGACCCCAGTTTACTTACTCTGTGACGTACATTGGCCCTTGGATGATAGGATCTGTGGGGGCAAAGACACAGAGAGTAAGTAGACTCCCCCCTTCAGACTCCCCATGAAAAAAACCCCTCATGTTCACTAACTGCTCGTGTTATTCCAGGCAGCAAGCCAAACACCTGACACGTGTCACTCTGTAGAATCCTCTTCACTTTCCCCAGACCACACAGCCGAAGCTGCCAACACACACTGGTTTGCTGGATTTGGGAGCCCAAGGTCTCATATTCTCTGTGCTGTGGTGATGGCCCAACTCTGGGCCAAGGAGGGAGGAGTGGCCACGTGTTGCTCACCATCCTTCAGTGTCCACTTCAAGTCCCCTGTCTGCTTGCTCAGCGCGTGGAGATTTCCATCCAAGGTGGACACGAGCAGAAGACCCTCTGGTCTGAGGCTCTGGACCTGTGGTTGGAAATAAAGCCGGCCTTCTGAGAATCCCGGGACCACTCTTTGTTCCCTCCTCCGAGGAGGCAGTGAAGGGAACGGTGATGGAGAAGCTGCTGGTTTCTCCCAACATCTCCCTAACCCTGAAGAGGGGTCACAGTAGAAGTTAGGGTTCTTGTTCCATTTTGCCTGTAAGTCCTACTTCCTCGCTAATCCCAAGTCCCTTCTAATACTCCAAGTAAGGCTGGAAGTTTTCCAAAACCACATCCCTGATCCACTTCAGTCTCCATATGACATTGCCATTATTTTCTTCCTCCTTGACAAAGTAAAAGCCGAACACAACATTTCAAAGGGCAGCCCGAGAAGATAGAGCAAAATATATCAAAATGTGCAAAGAACTGGGGTTAGAAAAACAACAACAAAAAGAATGTGCTTAGCATTTCTAGAGCTCAAAGAACTGAAGAAAATTATTTTTTGAGTTGGAGTGAGGGACACTATGAGCAAAGTATTGAAGGATGAAGAAAGCATCAAAAGAAGATGGAAGTAATAGACAGTCACTATACCATAAGAATTGATTATTGGAAGGAACCACACTGCCAATACAAAGGCATATGGTTTGAATCCACCAGCTGTTTGTTCTGTAGGATAAAGATGGGCAATCTCTTCCCCTGCAATTTACAGCCCCCAGCCTCTGAAAACCCAATGGAGGGTCAGTTAGGAGAAAGTTCCAACTTGACTGTACACAACAATACCCATTTCAGGAGGTGGTGGTTGTTGTTAAATGCCGTTGAGTTGACTCTATGAACCATGGTTCTGAACCTTGCCCTATCCTGAGCCAACCTCTCCGTCTCTGACACATTTGATTCTATTGTCATAGTCACTGTGTCAATCAATCCGTCTCATCCGGGGTCATCTCTTGTGCTGACTCTCTACCCTTCCAAGCATGCTATCCTTCTCCAAGGACTAGTCTCTGATGGCAGCATGCCCAAAGTATGTGAGAAAGAGTTTCAAAGTCCTTGTCTCTAAGGAGCAACCTGGTTTCACTCTGTCCAGGACAGACGTATATGTTCTCTTGGTAGTCCATGTTCAATGTCCTTCTCCAGTACAGAGAACAACTCAAAGGCATCTATTCTTTTCTGTCATCCTTAGTTATTGTCCAGCTCTCTGATACATAGCAAGTAATTGTGAAGACCATGGCCTGGATCAGGCACACCTTAGTTTTTAGACTGACATCATTGCTCTTTTCCACTCTAGAGAGGTTGCTGACAGCAAATTTTCCCCAAAACAATAGTTAAGAATGGATGGTACTGAAAGAAGTCCATGGTGCACAAAACAAAAACCAAGACTCCAGGAATAGCCAGAATAAGAATGGAAGTGTTTCAACAAATGATTGCATTATGGGTTGCTGAAATCCACTTGTCTATGCCAAGAAATTTTGGGAGCTCTGATGGCCTAGTGGCAAGAAGCTGCACTGCAATCCCAGAAGCTTGCAGTTCAAATCCACCAGATGCTCTGCTGGATAAGGAGTGACAATCTCCTCCTTTACCAGTCAGATCTGATTTGGCAGTACACACACAAAAAAGTAATAAATTTAAAAAAAAAGAAATTTAGTCAATGGGAAGACATCCAGCCTTGTATTGATGCTCATTTTAAAGAAAGGCAAGAAAAAAAAAGAAAGGCAACCAAACAGAATGCAGAAATAATCGAACAATATCATTAATACGATTAACAATATCAATGATCATTACCTGCAAGTAAAATCTTGAAGATAATTATAAAACAGTTGGAGAAGTTTCAACAGGGAACCGCCAGAAATTCAAGCTGGATCCAGAAGAGGTCTTGGGGCAAGCAATGTCATGGCTCGGGTTAGATAGATAAGAGTTGGCTCAAAGTAGAGCATGCCAGAAAGATGTTCACTTGTCTTTTATTGACTATGCAAAGGTATCTGACCATGGCATATGAATATAATAAACTATGAGTAACATTGCAATGTATGGGAATTCCAGAACCCTTAATTGTATTCACGCAGAACTTACACATAAACCAAGAGAAGGATAGATATCATGCTTGGTAATGTAGAGGGTCACTGAACAAGAAGCCCACCTATGAGATGGGCTGACAATTGTCTGGAACAATTGGTTAAAATATAGCAAAACTTGCATTGAAAAACAAGGAACTCATGCAATATTATTAAAAATGGGTGACCCTGGAGGACATTA